GTCGGCCATGCGTGGGTGTGCATGCTGGGCTCGTCGGGGGCGTTTCTGCTGGTGAACCTGCTCTACAACTACGCGGTAGCCCCGCCGCGCCCCGTTGGGCCTCCTTTCTTTTTGCCCCCCTCCCTCCGTCTTGGGGGACGAGGGGGGAAGCAGTGGGGGAGGTGGGAGGAGGAGGAGGAGGAGGAGGAGGAGGAGAAAGATGCTTCTGGTGTTGCTGGTGTTTAAAGTGGTGGCAATGGTTGTGGCGATGGCGATGATGACGACGATGCTGACGATGAGACGGCGACAATGATGAGGCTGATGATGATTTGATGATGATGATGATGATGATGATGATGATGATGATGATGATGATGATGACGACGACGATGATGATGATGATGATGATGATGATGATGATGATGATGATGATGATGATGATGATGATGATGATAGTAATTGTGGTAATGCTGATGACGCTGCTGCTGCTGATGCTGATGCTGATGATACTGTTGCTAATGCTGCTGCTGCTGTTGCTGCTGTTGTTGTTGTTGCTGCTGTTGTTGTTGTTGTTGTTATTGTTGTTGTTGGTAATGATGGTGCTGATTGTGATGATGATGATGCTGCTGCTAATGATGATGATGATGACGAGGAGGGGCAGGAGGACCAGGAGAGACGTGTTCAGGACGATGACGATGATACTGATTCTGAGGATGGCGAATCAGATGCTGAGGATGATGATGTGGCTGGTGATGATGCTGGTAGTGACGATGATGCTAATGATGCTGCTGATGATGCCGATGCTGATTACGACGATGATTCTGATGCTAATGACGATGATGATGCTGGTGCTGATGATGCGGATTATGATGTTGGATGTTGATGCTTAGGACGTGGATGCTGTTGCTGCCAGTGATGAGGGGGTGGATGACAGTGTGGATTATGATGAGGATTCTGCTGATGATGCTGATGATGATGATGATGACTCTGATCCTGATCATGATGATGATGGTGATGACGATTCGACTGCTGACGACGATGATGATGCTGATGATGATGCTGATTTTGCTGTGATGATGCTGCTGCTGCTGATGATGATGGCGGTGATATTGACGTTGACGTTGGCGTTGGCAATGACGATGACGATGATGATGATGCTGATGCTGATGCTGATTCTGATGATGATGCTGGTGATGATGATGCTGATGATGATGATGATGATGGTGATGCGGCGGCTCCGGGTGCTGTTGCTGCTGCTCTTGACGACGACGATGATGAAGGATGATGCAGATTAGGATCTCGATGTGGATGGGGACGAGGAGGATGACGACGTGAATGACGAGGATAGTTTCGGATGATTGTGGGAAGCAGCGATAGGAGTGACAAGATGAGGACGAAGTGCAGGAGGATTATGCTGATAATGCTGCTGCTGCTGCTGCTGCTGCTGATGATGATGATGATGATGATGATGATGATGATGATGATGATGATGATGATGATGATGATGATGAGAAGGAGGAGGAGGAGGACGAGGCGGAGGAGGAGTTGGAGGAGGATGAGAAGTGGGCGGCGGTCGAGAAGGAAGATTCCTGATACACAACGGTGTGTCCGCATAGCGGGCGCGGTCTGACGCTCCATCCCCTGGAGCGTCAGACGCGGAAATGGTGGGGCTGGTGGAGTGAGAGGGACACCATCCATGGTAACACAAACACGGTATCCGCATGTCTGCCGCGGTCTGGCGGGGGCCTCCCTGGACTGAGTTAGATGGCGCTGGTGGGACCAGTGGAGTGGGAGAGGCACGAACCCTGACACGCAACACAGCGTCCGCATGCCAACCGCGGTCTGGCGGGCCTCCATGCAGAGTCCGACGGCGCTGGTTGGACAGGTGAAGTGTGAGGGGCATGAGCCCAGGCGTACAAGATTGTTTCCCACTGCCGGCCGCGGTCTGGCGGGGCCTCCCTGGAGGGTCAGGCGGCACTTGTGGGACTGGTGGAGTGGGATGGGCACGAACCCGGATACACATATACAGTTATTTATACATATATACATATATGTTCGTATGTGCAGATGCATAATCATTTGCAAATGTATATGTGCATGTGCATGTACATGCATATGAATGTATGTATACATGTGTATATGCAAATATACATGTACATACATATCGATCGAAGTGTGTACATGTATATGTAACCGCCTATGTGTATGTGTATGTACATGTACATTTATGTGTATATATATATAAGTGTGTGCATAATATGTATAGATGTGCTTGCGTATACATACATACATGTGTACTTTTGCATGCTTTCGTTTGACAGATTCACATTTTTTATGCGTATGTGTATGCTCATGCGTACCTATTGGTATGTATGTACGTGTAGGTGTATGTACATGTACATGTACATGTACATGTACAATTATTTGCATACATGGGTCTATATCTCTTCTATAGGTCAATGCATACGTATATGTACATGTTAAGTGTAATGTTTCTATAATCTATATCTCTATATCTATGGTCCAGGGTCTGGGGCCGCACTCCCCTCCCCCCCAATGGGTATGCCATCGGACCCCCCCCCTCCCCCCCGATGGGTTCCTCCCCCTCCCCCCTGTGGATGTGGTGTGGGTGTGGTGTGTTGCTGTGGGGGTGTGCGGGATGGCGCCATGGTCCTCCTCCCCCCCCCCCCTGTGGGTGCGGTGTGGGTGTGGCGCGTGGCTGTCATTGGCGTCATGTTGACAGCTCCGGTGCTCGACGTCGTCGCCGCCGCCGCTGGTGGTGCCGTCGACGTCGTCGTCGTTGTCGTCGTCGTTGTCGTCGTCGTCGTCGTCGTCGTTGTCGTCGTCGTCGTCGTTGTCGGTGTTGTCGTCGTCGTCGCCGTCGTCGTCGTCGTCGTCGTCGTGGTCGTCGTCGTCGTCGTTGCCGTCGTCGTCGTCGTCGTCGTCGTCGTCGTCGTCGTCGTCGTCGTCGTCGTCGTCGTCGTCGTCGTCGTCGTCGTCGTCCCCCTCCCCCATCCCATCTGGGGGTGGAGGGGGTGGGGGCTTGTGAAACCCTGGGGCCCATCCCATCTGGGGGGGGAGGGGGGGGTCTTGTGAAGTCTGGACCTGGGATCAAATATGCATCTGCGTTTTTTTTTTTTTTTTTTTTGTTTTATTTACCTCTCCATTTTTCAGATGTGCGTGTAAATATATATATAAACATGTGTATGTTTTTCTTATGTGCTTGTAGGTGTTTTTGCATATGTAGGTATCAGTACATGTTTGTGTTTATGCTTATGTAAAGGTCTTTGTACTTAAATACTTTTTTGCATCTGTCCATGTATCTAGACATGTATGTATGCATGTATGTATTCACGTGTGGCTATAATTCATTATCTGGACACCTACCGTTTTTTGCGGGGCCTTCTTGGCAGGTCAGGCGACGCTGGTGGGACTGGTGGAGTGGGGAGAGCACGAACTCTGAGGCAGAACATGGTGGCCGCAGGCCTGTCGCGGTCTGGCGGAGCCTCCCTGGAGGGTCCTGGGATATATGATCGAGGTCGATTCGGGGAGGGTGCCCTGATGCTCTTCGTGTTTTTGGTGGATGCTCTTGTGCATCCTGGGGGAGGGTGCCGTCGAATGTTCTTCCGTTTGGTCGGCGGAGGGCTTCCTGTTCCTGAAGGATGCTCTTCCGCCCTGGGTCCGGCCGTCGGGGATGGCCCGAGGAAGCGCGAACCCCACGCAGGGTGCGGGGAACAAGAGCCCCAGCCGAGCTCTGGGGTAACGGTCCGCTGACATAGGGGAACGAAAGTGACAGAAAACATAAAAAACTCGGAGGTCCGCGCGGTTTTCTCGGATCGGCGCTGGACCCCCCTCCCTGGCGCGCGGAGCGCGCCAGGGGCGGCGCCGGAGGCGCCGCCAGGGGGGCCCCGGGGCCGACCCGAGAAATCCGCGCGGACCTCCGAGTTTTTATGTCTGTCTTTTTTGTTCCCCTATTCTGAGAAGGCCTTCTCACTTCCCCCCCGGCGCGCTTCGATGCTCTCGGTGCGCTTCGATGCCCTCGGTGCGCTCGCAGTCTTCGGACATCCGGCGCGCTTCGCTGCTCCCGAGGCGTGCGACCCCTCGGACCTCTTCGCGGCCCTCCTCCGGGGCACATTCCTGCTGCCTCTGCCGAGGCCCGCCGCGGGGCCAGCCAGAGGCTGGATGTTTGGCGACACAAGCCGCCCGCCCCGAGGGGTCCGAGGCGCCGCGTGCTCCGGAGGGGAAAAAGCACACAGACGCAATTCATCGTCGATCCCCGGGAGAGTATCGCAGGCCTAGAGGTTGACACCAACACCAATATCGGCGGTGTGCCTCCACCGAGGGAAGAAGATCCCGATCTCGGTGATGGTGGTAATATTCAGGCTCCCAAGGTGACCGAAATATTACCGCCAACACCGAAATCGAGGATCATCTTCCGCCAATGGATGCACACCGCCGATTTTGGTGTTGGTGCCCATTTCCAGGCCTTCAAGAGTATGGGAAAATATGGGAAGTGGGGGGGGGGACACCTGGTATTTGTGCGTATTTACTTGTGTGGCCCAGGGCCCCTTCACATGCCTCCGCTCCTCTCTCCTCCTCCGCGCCGGGCCGCTCCTGGCAGGCGCCTCGCCTTCCCACTCTGCGGCATGCTCGGGGCAGGGGCGTGCCGAGTGGCCGCTCGCCCCCTGTCGGCGGCGCGCCTCTGGGGCAACGGGAGGGGCGGCGGGCACTCTCAGAGGGCCGCGTGGCTCCCCAGAAGCCCTCCGGGCTCCGAGTCCGGGGCGGCCCTTGGTCGGAAAGCTTCGCAGAAGGCCGGGGATGTCTTCGAAGCCTTCTGAGCAGGCCGGCCTCCTTCACCCCAGGGCGCGCCGCGTCGGGATCGACGTGTCTGCGGTTCGCACGTGAGCGACCCCCAGGAAAGGGGGCCGTCTTCACCGACATTCGCGCGCGAGCTGCCCGCGTAAGGTCCCGCGTTGAGCGCCCCCGTCTCCGGTGCCGTGTGCCGCGCGGGCGGCCCGCGT